AAAGATATTGTTTGATATTGTGGTTAACAATATCTAACAATATCTTAACAATATCTCTGTAAAAATAGATTAATTGAAATATGATTTTTTTATTATTTCAATACAAAGAGATGATATAAGATATATACAGGAGACCTAAGCTATTTTAGGAAATATAATAACTCTATTTTATGTTAGGATCCCTTGATTTATGGGATTGTTCCTAATTATTCAAATCTGTACAGATTACAAGGAAATATACAAATTTCCTGATTTATTCTTTCCTAAAATACTATTTGATTTCCCACACTCCCCCTCAAGCTGGTGAATAGATGTTTTCCATTTCCAGCTTGGATACAATCTTCTCAAAATTATGGCAGCCCAGTCCCTTGGTAAGAATGTTTGCAATTTGGTCTTGAGAGGACACATATGGAGTGCATATCAAGCCACTATCAAGCTTTTCTTTGATGAAGTGTCTGTCTTCTTCAATATGCTTTGTTCTATCATGCTGCACTGGGTTGTGGGCTATACTGATTGCTGACTTATTATCACAATAGAGCTTCATAGGTTCTTCCCAATTTATCCTCAAGTCTTCTAAGATGATTTTAAGCCATAGCAACTCACATAACATAAACTTGTCCTCCTTTCCTTGAGGAGCCTCCTTTGTGTCCCCCTTCTCGATCTCGGTTTAAAGGCTTCCCATGTAACTTCCAACACTTCTCTCGGGTATGACGAGGTTTATTGCAGTAGGTACACCAGAGACCATCACCTTTCTTCTCCACATTTGCTGATCCTCCTTTCTTCTGTTCGGTTACCATGGCCAAAGTTTGATCTCCTTTATGGTCCAGTGCTGAGTTCTCTACTGTTGGACTCTCTAACATGAGACCCCTTCTACTTTCTTCACTTCTCACAATAGCCACCACTTCATTGAGGCATGGTACCTTTTGCTTCCCCAATATTTGAATCCTAACTTGATCAAATTCAGGATTCAAACCAACAAGGAAATCATAAACTCTGTCTTGTTCGATATACTCCTTGAGAAGTGCTTGAATCTTCGAGTACATTTGGCTTTTATGACTCTATAATGGTCTAGCTCCATCCACAATGATTTTAGCTGATTGGCATATTCTGTAACAGTCTTGTTCCCTTGTTTTGCTGCCAAAGTTTTCACCTTTACTTCATATATTTGAGCAGCATCTTTGGCTTTAGAGTAGGTTTGCTCTACAACATCCCAAATATCTTTTACCGAATTAAGGAACATGCAGATGTCGCTGATTTCTGGAATCATTGAATTCCATAGCCACGCCATGCCATGATCATTGAATCTTCTTCATCCCATGTAGTAAACTTGGGATCCTCCTGTTTAGGTCCAGACTCCATCAGGTGACTCAACTTCCCCTTTCCCTTCAACACTGTACGAACAAGTTGGGCCCACTTCAAATAATTTCTTCCATTTAGTCTATATGCGGAATGAATATTCGCAGTTCTCCAGATTCGTCGGGATTGGGTATTCCACTGTTTACGGGTTTGGATTCGCAACTTCCTCTTCCCTTGACATCATAGCAAGGAGGTGTGATGCAACAGCAATGCAGGCTGTCGTCTTAGGATTAAGAAAAATGCAGCAGCAATGCAGACTGCCAACTTAGGGTTAAGAAAAATGCAGCAGCAATGCAGGCTGTCGTCTTATGGTTAAGAAATATGCAGCAACAATGTAGGCTGCCGTCTTAGGATTAAGAAAAATGCAGCAGCAATGTAGGCTACCGTCTTAGGGTTAAGAAAAATGCAGCAGCAATGTAGGCTGCCGTCTTAGGGTTAAGAAAAAATGCAGCAGCAATGCAGGCTGCCGTCTTAGGGTTAAGAAATATGCAGCAGCAATGCAGGCTGCCATCTTAGGGTTAAGAAATATGCAGCAGCAATGCAGGCTGCCATCTTAGGGTTAAGAAATATGCAGCAGCAATGTAGGCTGCCGTCTTAGGGTTTATCGCGCGCAGACATAGCTTCCTAGATCGGAAGCTCTGATACCATCTGTAAAAATAGATTAACTGAAATATGATTTTTTTTATTATTTCAATACAAAGAGATGATATAAGATATATACAGGAGACCTAAACTATTTTAGGAAATATAATAACTCTATTTTATGCTAGGATCCCTTGATTTATGGTATTGTTCCTAATTATTCAAATCTGTACAGATTACAAGGAAATATACAAATTTCCTAATTTATTCTTTTCTAAAATATTATTTGATTTCCCACAATATCAAATAATATCTAAACAATATCTAACATTATTAATACATTTTGGAAGGAATTCATGGCATTTCAGGGGGTTCAACTACAACTCTCCTCAAGTTACCATCCTTAATCGGATGGCCAGACAAAGGTCGTGAATAAATGTTTGGAGACATATCTCCGGTGCATGTGTTCGGATTCATCATCTCAATGGAGTAATGGTTGCCATTAGTAGAATGGTGGTATAATACCACTTACCATACCTCTACTAATACAACTCCTTATGAGATTGTTGTTGGATAACCACCACCAATTTATCTTCTCTATTTACCAGGAGAATCCAAGTTGGATCTTGTTGACAGGAGTTTAACTAAAAGAGAAGAAATGCTGAAAGTTCTTAAATTTCATTTAAGATGGGCACAACATCGAATGAAGCAAAATGCGGATAAGCATAGATATGACAAAACTTATAACATAGGGGACTTAGTTTATGTTAAACTACACCTAGGTTTCTGTAGTACAAAGGGTTAATATGAAGTTGTCTTCAAAATTCTATGGACCGTTCCTCATTGTTGATCCAATGGGACAGGTTGCGTACAAGCTGCAACTACCTGAATCTTCACGCATTCATAATATTTTCCACGTTTCACAATTAAAAAAACATGTGGGAATGACAACAGTAGCTTTTACTCTTCCTTCAGATGCTGAGGATCAATCTAGCCACAAAGAACTAGAGGCCATTCTGGACCGCATAACTGTCAAAAGGAGGGGATGCCAATAACAAAGGTTCTTGTTAAATGGAAGCATCAGCTGCTTGAAGATGCTACTTGGGAGTTCTTTTATGATTTGAAACAAATGTTTCCTTTTTTCAAACCTTAAGGGCAAGGTTTCTCTCGCGGAGGGGGCTATGTTATAACTTTCTCTGGATACCGGTCTTAGATTAGAAAACGACCTTAATAGCCAAAGCCTATATATACGAGTGGCTGTCTTGTAATTGGATATAGAAAAACATTGTGTTAAGGTTCCAACATAAAACCAATTGGCAATATGTGGAGTAGCCTAACATCTTTCCGGTTATTGTCATGGGCCAAAAGTTGCCCTTTAGTTGGGTCAAAAGTACCCTTTGCCTGGTCCGGCAGGCTTCGTTGGAGGGGGTGTGTTGAAAGTCCCACATCGCCTACCTCATATCATTTGGTATGGTTTAAATACATGTTAGGCTACTCCACATATTGCCAATTGGTTTTATGTTGGAACCTTAACATGGTATCAGAGCCTAAGCCTAACATCTTTCCGGTTATTGTCATGGGCCAAAAGTTGCCCTTTAGTTGGGTCAAAAGTACCCTTTGCCTGGTCCGGCAGGCTTCGTTGGAGGTGGTGTGTTGAAAGTTCCACATTGCCTACCTCATATCATTTGGTATGGTTTAAATACATGTTAGGCTACTCCACATATTGCCAATTGGTTTTATGTTGGAATCTTAACACATTGCATTGTAATAATTCCTCTCCTATCTCAATACATGCGGGAACCCACCATTGGGCTCCCTTTTCTGTACTCTTCTAGAGTTGTTTCTCTCCTCCCTTGTTTTCTTTCTTCTTCTGGTTCGGTACATATTGTTGCTCCTATGTTTGTCCATATCATTGAAATATGGACAAGTAACTTGAAAGCACTTCAGATAATCCCAAAAAACGAGTGGGTTCACTTTTGGCTACCCTAAAATAGAAAGGATACTGAAGAAGAGAAAACTGTAGTTATATTTCTTAATTCAAACAGTACAAGGAGTCCTATTTATAGGTACTCTACTACACATCAACTACCCCAGGAATAATTACGGCACCTCAATCCATCACCTCAGCTACCCACCATCTCAAATACCTAACACCTCAATTACACAACATCTCCACGACTCTAGTAATAGATACAACACCTCAACTATCCTAATGAATAAAACTCTTGTTAGACAAACAAAATATTGTCGTAACTTAAAACATTCAACAAAAGTCTTTCCTTTTCTATTTTCTAATCTGATTTTTTTCAGCTTAGTGTTTTTCTTTATTGGTAAATTTCTCATTTAATAGTTTTATGCTGAGGATATATTAACCCGTTTCTTGTTTTTTATTTTAATAATTTTATCTTGTATATCTATTATTTTGGGATTCTTAATGATTTAATTCATAAGTAATAATTTTTTTATTATAAATAAAGCAAAATATGTGGTGGATTATGTTAGAGCCCAAGACAAATCACAAGATGAGAAAGGAGTATGAGCTCAACAATTTCTCCTAGGCCCACAATTTGGGAAGTTTATACTAGGAGGAAAAATAGGAAGGTAGAAATATCTGCTGAGCTGGCAGAGGGAGAAAAGGAGAGTTAGTCACAGACTATTTGTATGGCAAGAAGAGGAGGGTAAGGGGTATGGGAAGTATCTTTTGGGATGTTATGAAAGAAGAGCCATAGCTCTCTTCAGAAGCTCTGCTCTGGACAGTAGTGGTTATCTCCTCTGATTTTCAATATCTTAGTAATACTCATCGGTTTTCGTTTTATTCCCTTTTTGTTAATTCTCTGCATTATTACTAGTGTTGAATTTAGTTTTGCCTCAGATTAACACACAATTCGAAGATCTGTTGTATCTTTTATTATTTTTCTTGTTGAGGATATCGTATCCCCTTTCTATTCCTCTGATTAAATTTATTTTTCTAAAAAAGAAAGAATAAGTTTTATCTCTACTGTTTAATCTTAGTTCCACTTTTTCTCATTTTCCTATAACAGCCTGTTCAAGATCCAAAAAAGATGACAGAAATAATTGTAGATGCATTGGAGACCACTGGACAGAGGGGCATAATCAATAAAGGATGGGGTGGTCTTGGGAGTTGTAAGAATATTTCTAATCTTGTTTTCTTGTTGGAATAGTTTATTAGTTTTATGTTTGTTTTAACAACATGTTTTTCTTCCCAGTGACAGAACCAAAGGACTCAATATACTTATTGGACAATTGTCCTCATGATTGGCTTTTCTTGCATTGCAAGGCAGTGGTAAGATTACCTAGTTATGGTTAGAGGGTGTTTGGTACTAAGCAAATTTTTTCATACCCGAAATTTATAATTCCTGGGGAATCATGAATAGTAAGAATTGTGATTCTTAGGGATAACTAAATTCTGTTTGGTCGACCAGAAATATTATTGGAAATATTTATTACAGTTTTCTAAGATCAAAGAGTGATATGCTACTTTCATAATCTTTAATTTATTATCACATTAAATCATTAAAGATCAAAGGGGGTAATATGCTTTTTATTTTTTTTTCTGTAAAACCTTTACTTAAATAATAGATCCCATGCCCCATGAGAATACTTTTGGAGGAAATTTGGCCAAAACCATTCTTAAGAATGTTATCTATTAAAAGGTAAACTAAACATGACAAATCTATTTTCCAAACTTTAGATTCTGGGGAAACTAAATATTTCCTTTCTATTAAGCTTTCCCTTAGTTCGTCCATCCATTATATTAGTAAAAGTCACATTGAATTATTACAGTCAAAGATCAAAAGTACCGAATTTTTAAACTCAGCCGTTGAAGTTGTAACCTGTTGGATAATCATGGTTTTCCTGCTGAATTTTGTTGGCTAACAAAATGGAAAGTTCTGTTGGGCACTTAATTAACTTGTGCAGATTCTTCAAATCTTGACAATTTAGATTGGTCAGATAGTGTAATGGGAGTCTGTATCTGATAGGACACTGGACCAAAATGTAGGTCCAAATGTTGAGAGCCCCAGGGTTTTGAAATTGTATACCTGTAAAAAGAAGAGATCAGTAGAAGGCTGCTGAGTTGGAAATTCTGCAAGAGAAGTGCAGGATGGAAATATAGGGGAATATGAAATAGTCACGATTAGTGGATTGTTGTGGGGAGAGTAGATTCTTCTATCCGGAGCATAGCTTTGGTCATCTTGTAAGGAGCTTAAGCATTGCTTCTCATTAAATAATATCCCGTTCAGTATACCATCAATTGGTCCCATGTGTTAGATTTCATTCACCCCATGCTCCTAAAAATGACGGTCTGATTTGAGTCTTTTGAGACTAAAGTAAACTCTGTTGAGAATTCACTCAAAACATCGTTGGAGTATTTCATAATGTCTTTACTGACTGCAATAAGTAACTTATTAGATCAACGAACATTAGTCAGTGGAAGGACCGAGGATGTTAGTAGTATCCCAAGAGGATGGAATTTGTCTGTCTTCTTGGGAGAGAGGTAACTTGGGACAAATACCTTATGGGACTGTGAAGAAGATTGAGTTATTCAACGGACTTGATCCAATGGGCTTGATAAGCAGGGCTGAATCTTATTATGAAGTGCAGAATATAACAGTTTGAAGACACTGTTAAATAAAGCAAAAAAGGATCTAATCCATACCTCCAGTTTAAACCAAGAAGTTAAAAGAGTATCGAATCCAGTTAAGACATTGCTGCCCATTTATTATCATCATCATTGTTCATCTGAACACAATCAACAACTTCTAGAATTCCAGAATCATCAAGTGAACCAAAATCATCTTTAGGTAGATCCACGTTTTTGTTTCCTCTTCATGAAATTGTGGAGTATTCCTTGAAAGATGTCAAAGATTGTTGTGGACAAATAGCAAATCTTTTGCTCTATGTGTTGCCGTCTTGTTTATCTTGAGAGAATGGACAAATGAATTAGTAATCTAATTTTTTTCACAACATGAAGATGAGCAAGGTTGTGCAAGTAATTTGAGGGCAACCTTTTGAAGAATTGGAGCATGAAGACCAAGAACTAGCAACCATGTTTTGGAATTCATGTTACCCCTTTTTACCACTTTGTTTCCATTTCCTGAAATCTTCAACAAGTATCCCTGCACTCTAATGCAGATCCATTACAAGTTAAATGTAAAGTTTGCTTTTAATTTTATAATTTCCTCCACCAGGACCACCTACACTTATATTTGTAACATATTTCCTCAAAAGATTTAGTTTCATCATCTTGTTCTTTGGCTTGACTAGAACTAGGAGTTGGAACACATTACATTCAATTAATGATATATAACAAAAAAAATGAGATAGTAATTAATTTATGTGGAAAATTTATTTAGAATCAGAATAATTTTAAGCTTCTATTATTGCAGGAGCTAAATATGGCTGAAAATTTAGTAAGGACTAAAGAGCATAGCATGAAGTAGTTATGGCTTTATAGCAAAGAAAGTGTAACTCTAAATTAATAGATCGAATCCTTTAACTACCCAAAACATGTAAATGAACTCTAAAGAATAACCTAATAGCATATAATTACATTAATATCCTGTATGGCCTAGGTGGCAAGTACGTGGATAATCAAAAACTGCTTTTTCAAAAGTTTATTGAAGAAAAATATGTAACAGGGACGCAAGAAAAGAAATATGACCAATAACTCACCTCCTTTTGAAAGTTTCATATTCAAGAAGGAGAAGAAATTTGCAAGAAATAGGCATATGTGAAATGAAGCAATTTTAGTTGTTGAAATAAAAGAGGAATAGGCTGAATTCCTAGTGTGTATTAAGCATATAGGTTTATCTCTTTAATAGTATGTTCCTAGCTGGTTACAAATATAATCAATTCTAGATCTATATGATGATTTGGTCAATACATATGTTAATTGATCATTAGAGTTGACAAACTTAGTCTTGATTTCTTTAGATATAATCTCTTCTCGAGTGAAATCACAATCAATTTCAACATGGTTGGTCCTCTCATGAAAGATGAGATTTGAAATAATACGGAGAGCGGTTTGATTGTCAAATATAATAGTCATTTGAGTGTTCTCTTCAAACTATAACTCTGTAAGTAATTGTTTAAGCTAAATGAGCTCACAAGTGGTTGAGACCATATAAGAGTCATTTTGTTTATTGTTCTTCCAAGAAATCATGTTGTCCCCAATGAATACATCATATCCAGAAGTGGAACTACTATGAACAGTTTGCCTAATCAGTGTTTGAATAATATACAACCTTATGTGATTATTGTGTCCATATAGAAAACTTTTTCTAGGAGAATTTTTAATATACTTGAATATACGAATGACAACATTCTAATGATCTACACATGGAAGATTAAGAAACTGACTCAATACATTGATCGCAAAAGAAATGTAAGGACGAATAACAATAAGATAGTTCAACTTTTCAACTAGCCTTCTATACTTTTCGGGATCTAAGAGTGACTCCCCCTTGATTAGGTAAGAGTTTGACATTAGGGTCCATGGGTGTGTCAGTGGACTTTGAATTCATTAACCTAGCTTCTCCCAACATATCTAATGCATATTTGAGAAGTAACGATTCTATTGTTAGATTGTGTTACCTCAATCCACAAAAAGTACATGAATTTGCCGAGATCTTTGATTTAAAAGTGGTGACAAAGGTGTTGCTTCACCTATGAGATGCCTTGGTAATCAGTACAATTTTATCAAAATATACCAAATTGTAAAACAATAGTACTAAATTTGCTAAACCAAGCCCAAGGACAATATTTGAGACCATATAAGGATTTGTGGATATGACATACCATTCCAGAAGACTCTTTTTGATCAACAAAACTGGAGATTGCTTCATATAAATTTCTTTTTGTAAATCATCATTAAGAAAAACATTTTTGATATTTAGTTGATAAAGAGACTATCGTTGAAAAGCAATCACAATTATGAATAAGTGAATAAAGGCCATCTTTACAATTGGAGAAAAAATGTCACTAACCTAACCGAAAAATTTGTGAATAACCTTTAACCACTAATTGAGCTTTGAGACGATCAATAGTACAATTAGGGCCAACTGTGATAGCAAAAATTCATCTGCTACCAAAAATAGATTTCCCAACAAGTAAAGGAACGAGTTTCCAAGTACGACTGTTCTTAAGCATATAGATGTTGAGTATCATTGGTGTACAATAATTTTGTCTATTTCCAAACATCTGAACATGTCTCATAAGCTTGAAATATTTGTTTCAATGATAGTGAATAGTGGACTTGAGTACAATGCACAATTGAGCATCAATTTTGAACCAATGAGAGAATAGTCAGTGTTAGCAACGGTAGCCGCATTCTTATTAAGATGATCAACATAATCCTAACTTTTAAGCCAAAATTGAATATGTGATTCCCAATTATGCTAATTAGTCTCATCTAATTTGTCAATAGGTAGATTCACATTGACATTGCATACCTTGGTAGTCAAGATTATCAAACTTGAGAGTCTACTTAGACTTGTGAGAACTCTACAAACTCAGCAAGTCTATTTTATATGCAAGATAATAATATTTAATTTTTTGAATTTATCCAAAATATTTAATCTATATAATTATTGAATATGTTTTTTTTACTTCAACAAGTATATTGACCTAAAAATAAATAAATCAGTCTTAATTATTGACATTTCATCATTTTAACCACTAATTCATAAACAAAGAATTAAAAAAACTAATTTCTTAAAAGAAAAAAACTAAAATAGAATAAAAAACTTGAAATTTAAAATAGATAAAAAAATTAAAAAAAGAAAGAAAATAGAAATAAAGAATGAAACGAGCTGAGGGAGGGAGAGATGAGGGAGGGAGACACGTGAATAACATAACCAAACAGATATGAAACGAGTCGCATCCCACGGAGGATGGAGTCATGTCGTGAGCAAAAGGAGGGAGACACCTTGAATGTGGAGGAGGGAGATGCATCGCACATGGAGGAGAGAGAAGAGTAGAATACTTGGCATGAAGATGAGTTTGACGAGAATAAATGCAACGAGATGAGTTCTAATGGACGACGAGAGGAATGGTAAAGAAGAAACCGATTCGTGACTTGATAATAAACTCGTCAGTCAGTTTGAGTTTGATCAAATTTACTCTGGGTTTGCATAAGTTTGCTAAAAAACGAGTCTATTCATAACTCATAAACAGTCACTCAACTCACAAACTCGCCCGAGTTAACGAGTTGATTCACGAGTTTCATAACTACTGTTGTTGATGTCGGGTGGTCCAACCTGCATTATCTATTGTTTATGTTGGTGGTCCAACCTCGAACTAAGGTGGTTGTCGGGATGACTAGTGGTGGACGACCCTATGTGATTAGGCATACAAACTTAATCTTTTGATACCAACTTAAGAACAAGAACAAGACAAGGTAACTGGAATTTTGAGGAAAAACAGTTCTCTAACCCTTTATTTATATTAATCAGAAATCAATACAAAGCTTCTTTCTAAAGAACTCATCACAGAATCTGTTAGTTCTAGTGACCAACCAGAAGATATCTTCATAAAGTCAAGGAAGCCTAGAATTCAATTTATGTTCTAACTTAAGGGAAGTGTTGGAAAGAGTTATGATTGAAGTCTAGGAGGTTTCACGACGTTTCTGGTTCATGCATCACTTTGGGACTTGTCTCCGTTTATTTGTAAATGCAATTAACTCCTAGATATGCGTAAATATATGTCCTGCTGATTATTTTTTTAACTCAAGCAATTCACTAAATATTATTGACCAAAATTTGGGAGAATATTACTGATTTTCAGGGCTTAGTGTATTTAGAAAAGTCAGGCTACATCAGTATAGTCATCAATGCAATCCTGTGTAAATTATCTATTTGCAAATTTTTATTCTTGGTATTTTACCCATTTTTTGCAGATTCATCACGGAGGTGCTGGAACAACAGCTGCGGGACTCAAAGCTGCTGTAAGAAATTTGTAGCTTTATAAATCCTTTGTAATATTATCACAACTTCTGATAATGCTTTTAATATTGGTATTTTTTTTTTATAGTGCCCAACAACAATAGTTCCTTTTTTCGGCGATCAACCATTTTGGGGTGATAGAGTACATGCTAGGGGAGTTGGTCCTCCACCTATCCCAGTTGATGAGTTTTCGCTTCCCAAGTTGGTTGATGCAATAAAGTTTATGCTAGATCCTAAGGTATATAAGTTTCATGAAATAACAAAAGTATATGCAAAAGTATTATCTTTCATAACTTTTCTGCACAAATTATGAGTAAATATTGAAGCTAAACTCAATCAAGCGACATGAATATATAGTTTACAGATTTTACATATATGAAATGTTCACCTAAAGTCGAGCTTGTTATCTTATTTGAGTAACTTCTGTACGTATAAAGTTTACAATGGTAATTGAAATGTTGAACTGTATGCATTTAGTAACTGTGGAGATTTTTGGAAATTATCTTCTGTTTTTATTTCCTATTATTCTTGTGTATATGGGAAGCATTGCTGTATTTAGGAAGGCTTTGTATTATACAATATCTGATTGATATGTCCTAGATTTAGGATATTTTTTTTCCTCTATTTAGCTTGTACTTTTATACATGTACCAATATCATGAGTTTATGTCAAATTCTGCATCATGTTTAACTGATTATTTGTTTTCTATTTGACGGTAAGGGTAATCGTGAGGTATATATATATATATATATATATATATATATATATATATATATATATATATTGACTCTGGCTGTTGTTTGAAGTTGGGCTGCGCATATGAGGAAAACTTTCATTAATTTTTTAGGTGTTCTGTGAAGCAATGCAAATTTAGTGGATTCTCGTCTTTTCTTGGGTGCTTTATCGCTAAAGATAACCGTAACATTTATAACTCCAGGTAAAGGAACGTGCAATTGAACTTGCTAAGGCAATGGAAAATGAGGATGGCGTGACAGGAGCTGTGAAAGCATTTTTTAAGCAGCTTCCTGAAAAAAATTCAGAGACTGATGCAGACCCACAACCATCCAGGTTTTTTTCTGTAAGAAGATGTTTTGGTTGTTCCTGATTCAAATGTAGTGCATCAAGTCCCACCTTTTGTTACGTGAATCATAAATATTTAATACGTTTATGAGATGGGCTCGACTTGTCGCCCTATCAGGTGATTGTATAAATTTGTGCATGCATCTATTCATACTATTTAAGGTGAGTTTCAATGTGTAAGTAAATTTTCTGGCTTTTAATTAATATTATGTGCTTGGAATGTAGTTTCGTTCTGTATCATATAAGTTTTTGACCATGACCGTAACAAGATATTTGACATAAATCCTCAATTGAATAGAATTAATTGTACGCCATAATTTGTGTGGCAGCTCTAATTTTTGCTCATAAATTTTAATATTCCACAATGGATAAAGGGTGTTTATTTTTATTTGTGAAGTAATAACTTACACATCCACATCTCTACTATTATAAATTGTGGAATGTTTGCAAAATAGAAAATTCTTTGATAATGATCAATGATCCGGCACAAGAATTCATCAGCAAACCTGATTGGACTACAAATATGATCGAAATTATTTTACAATGTGCTAGAGAATTATATTTATACTTCTGGCTAACAATTTTCATTTGATAAATTTGTTAGACAATTGTATGTACTATGTCGCTTCCTCTATTTTTATTTAGTAGATTTTTATTTTATTATATATTCTTATAAAAAATTGTTTTATTGATTTTTGTACTTAAAACAAATTGTTTCTGTTTTTTTATATGGGGTGTATCATAAAAATGAAATGAAAAGAAAAAAAAGGGTAAAATATTATTATGAAGGAAAATTAGTAAAAGATTGATTGTATATTCTACATCTTTTCCATGATAGAGATGACTCAAGAATAATCTAAAATTAATTTCAAAATATAAATAAATAAACTAAAATTCAAAATTGAAATTAGTATATGTAAAATATCATTAGAATTTAATTCAGTAATGAAATATATGTTAAAGCAGCAATTTTAAAGTACTATAATAAACTTTAAATTCAAAAAATTCAATATCATAAATAATATATTTAAAAAATATATTTATATAGATTTTTTTAAGTTTATTTATCGAATTATACTTAAAGTATTTTAATAAATATTTTAAAAAATTATCTAATCTAGTTAATTATCATAATTTAATCTAATTATAATTAGATTAAATCATTAAATAAAAATTATATTTAATTTATAAATATTTGATATTTTTTTAATTAGATGAGTAATTATTTATTATAATAAAATAATTTTAAATTAATTATTTATATTATTGTAAATAAAATTATTTAGTTGCATAATTTTAAATAATTAATTAATATTTTTTTAGTTTCAATGTTGTTTTCAAAATATTTATTTTAACATATTTTTATTAAATTTTAATATAGTAGTTTAATTAGGAGAATAGGTGGGAGAGGAGGAAAAAAAAAAAATAAGATAGAAAAGAAACAAAAATGAAGAGTGAAAGAAGAAAGAGAATACTTACGAGGAATGAAGAAAAATTGTATATGAATAGTAAACATGTTTATTTGAGTAAACAAATTTATTATCTTCCAACACATTATATGAATATAGGTGAAAAAGAAGGTAAGAAAATATTTGAATGTGAAAGATTCTTAAATAATTAAAGCTCCCAAAAGCTTAAATAAAAAAAGATCTATGTTCTTATGTGTTTTTGTTGTGCAATAGTGATTAAACAATGAATAGATTTTAAATTAAAATTAATTGGTATTACGTGGAGTAAATAAATATGTAAGTTATATTTAAATAATTGAGGTAAGCAATGTGGGAGTGTTTTGACGTTCCCCTCTACTAATGACAATCGAGACAAGTAATGTAGGTCTCTCTAACATTTCCCATTGGCTAAAATAATGCTAACTATAATACGCGAGACTAAAAAATTATAATATTATATCATGAAAATTGAGGGAGATAATGTGAGACTCTATTTGACATTCTCCCTCAACTAAAAAGATGTCTACTGTAATAAGCGAAATTAAAAAAAAATTGATACTATATTAAATTTTAACCTAAAACCAAATGGCATTGGATAAAATCATACAAAAATATATAAGTTATACATGAAGAATTGAAATAGACAATAGGTATATATATATATATATATATATATATATATATATATATATATATATATATATATATATATATATATATATATATATAAATGAGTGTGTATTTATCATTTTATCTAATATTAATTGGTTCTAAGTTGAAATATAAGATGAGATCATAATCTTTCTAGCTTCACTTAAGGTCTTCTTGATTGATGGAGATGTTAAAAAAAATTTCATATCTTACCTAAATTATAGCATGACTTATATATATCTTTTTATTAGGTTACATTTATTTTAGGTCAAAATCTAATATTTTAAAGGCAAAAATGGTGAGAAGGTTGAAGATAACATGTGTGTGAGTGAAGGAAAGAGAATAAAAGTTGTTCGTGTGAAAACCATGAGTTAGTATTCTTGATGGAGTATTGGAACGTATCTGGACTAAACCAAGTTGATTTGGTGCAACTAAGCAAGAACAAGGAAGAGTAAGGTTTATTTTGGTTTTATTTGTTAGCTAAGGTAAGAATAATGGTGGAGATGGTATGAGTGAGTGGTGCATGGACTCTTGACTTAAGGAATGGCTAAGAAGTGCATGGACTCTTAACTCTCTATATATAATTGTAAACAAGGATTTCTTATATCTATTATTTTATCCTCAAATGCATAATGTAAAAACTCGTGATAAACAAATATATATATCCATTTTACAATTGATAGTAAGTTGAACCTATATGGAACTATGAAACAACCAGTAAAATCATCTTAAAATTACTTACTACATTGCTTGAACATTGGGATCAACATGCATGATGGACAACATCCTTATTTTGTAACTGCTCATAAACAAAGAAAGATTGATTCAGAAACTCCACATTAAGATTTTATGAAGACTGTAAATTGCCTTATTGTAGAAACTAAACCAATAAAGTCTTTTTACCTTAGATTTCAGGGCCTCCACCTTAGAGTTTTACATCTCTGCCCTCGTTGGTATTCATACACAAAATCAAGCTGGGGGATGATCTTGTAAAGCATCTCATCCACGAGTTTGGAATACCAGAACCTCCATCTCCTCCAGAAAACAAGGGGGAGGACGAAAATTCCAAAGCCAAAAATAAACCCTAACTCTGCGCTTAATAAACTCCAATCAATTGAACTCTTGGTATCAGATTGAGGTGTTTCAGGTGTTGGCACTCCAGGATTGCTGCAAATACGGGTCAGTGGAGGCCCACATAACTTTTCATTTCCTTCAAAGGAATCTCCTTCAAATGTTTGAATTTGGGTTCCCTTCGGAATTTCACCCACCAGGTGATTGTTTGAGAGATTCAAATATGCAAGAAAATTTAGACTTGCAAGCTGTCTCGGGATTTCTCCATTTAAAAAATTGTTTGACAAGTCTAAGGATTCAAGATTCTTCAAATTCTCAATAGACGATGGGATATGACCTGAGAGGGCATTATTTGACAAGTTAAGAGCCATTATTGCCTTGAACTGCATTAGCTCAATTGGTATTGGACCCTCAAAATTGTTGTTTGACATGTCCACGTAAGTGAAGGCCCTCTGTATTCTGGCCAAATTTATTTGTTGACCTTTATTTGTAATAAGAATTGAATTTTGATACCGAGAAAAATCCACTGCAAAAGAATCTGATGATCCCTGGTCAAGGATAGAGCGAGATATGTTTGTAACAAGTTTAGTTAATTTTGCTACAATAACTTTGTCTAAATGTAACAACAAATCCTTATAATTCTTGGGATCATAGTGGTCAATGATATCAATGAATAAGTGGCCAAGTTCTGGTTCAGCGTTAACATTGTCTCGCATCATTGCTTTCCAACTGTTCAATAAAGCTCCTGGTATTGGACCATTGAAATTATTGGAGGCTATATCAACAATATGGAGCATTTCCCAATCACCACTGCTTTTTGGGCATCCAATTAACCCGTGAAGTTTGTTCAACCGTAAATCCATGATTCGTAAGGTGGAAATATTACTTAAGAAACAAGGAAATTTGTCGGTTAATGAATTTCTTCGAAGGTTTAGGACTTGTAGTTTCTGGCAATAAGCTAATGATGTTGGGATGATACCCTCCAAGAGATTGTTATTTAGGTCCAATAACTTGAGAGTACATAAAGCTGGCAAAGTATCAGGAATATATCCTTGAAGTTTGTTTGAACCAAAGTTCAACACCCGAAGAGTGCTACTCAACTTAGCAAAGCATCTGGGAATGGTTCCAACAAAGTTATTGTGAGAAAGATCCAGCAGGACCAGACTTGAAGCATTTGAAAAGGATTCAGGAATCTGTCCCTGAATATCGTTGTTTGAAAGAGACAACCATTTTATGAAAGGGAGACGATTTCCAATGTCCACTGGAATGACCGAGTTTAATCTATTGTTTGAGTAGTCCAAATAATTTACCAACGTTGGACTGAAAGGAAAGGGTCCTTGTAGTTGGTTGGAACTAACATCAAAAACCAAAAGATTTGAACTAAGGTTCCGAACATTTCCTTCAAATTTTGTTAGGAAATTTTTGGAAAGGTTCAAGTAAACAACATATTCAAGTTGCAAAACCCAGTAAGGTATTGTCCCTTCAATCTCATTTTCAGCTAGCTCAAGACGTAGTAACTTTGATTGATTTCTCAAAAAACTAGGGATTCCTCTCAGCTTGCATGATGTCAACATTACATTTCTTAGAGCAGGAAAGGGTGACAGGTCACGAGCATCTCTAGAGTATATATCAACTGACAAATTGTTATGCGAGAGGCATAATGAAGTTAGATTGCTCAACCTGCGAATCATGTCCAATTGAATTGTGCCATTAAACTTGTTTGAATTAAGTTGAATGACACGAAGTGCTCTAAGGTTAAATATAGACAAAGGAATAGGTCCTTCCAAATTGTTGCTACCCAAATCAAGCATCTCTAATACATGGGAAGTAATCACATACTCATCCAAGCGACCACTGAGTTGATTATTGGGAAGTTTAAGTTCTCGCAAATATGGGAGCTTAAGTAGAGATGGGGGAAGAGTCCCTTTGAACAAGTTGAACCCCAAATCAATGTTGGCTAGATTTTCAAGGCCCTCAAAATGACTGGATGGTAACATTCCTGTTAAATGATTATGAAAGATGGATAAATATGTGAGATTCTTGGACATATTAAAAGAAGGGAGTGGACCTGAAAAGTTATTGGAAGACAAGTCTAGATAAACTAGTTGGGTGAGTTCTGACATTGAAGTAGGAAGTATTCCATTAAATTGGCAGTAAGATAGATCAATTGTAGATAAATGCTTCAAGTTGGAAATTTCACCCGGAAGCTTTCCTGCGAAACTTGTCGTGCTAAGATTCATGTCATGAAGATAACCACGTGGTTGGAAGTTTGGCAAAGAACCTAGAAGATCTTCATTGTCTGAGATGTCAAGGACCTTTAATGATGGTATATGGAAGATATCTTTGGGAAAAGAACCATTCAAGCCACAACTTCTTAGTTTTAGTGTGACTAGATTAGAGAAATTCATAAAGGAATCTGGTATTGTGCTAGACATGTTATTGTAGCTTAAATTTAGAACAGCGAGTGACCGAAGCTTAGCAAGGGAAGGATCAATAGGTCCAGAGATATTGCATGATGACATGCTCAGAACACGTAGGTTGTGCAACGAAGATAAAACATGAGACCATTCCTGTCCATTGGCAGATATCACTACACCATCTAGATATAATTCTGTGATATCTGTAAGGTTTTGTAAAATCCTTGCTAAATTTGGCCTTGCGAGTTTCAGGCTGTGAGGTGATGAGGAAAATGAAGAAGACAAGTCAAGAGTAACTAACCTTCTGAGGTGAGAAATCTCAAGTGGAATCTGCCCTTCAAAGCCAGCATTTGACAAGTTCAAATACTTCAAATTATTCAACTTGTGAAGTGCAGAAGGAATCACCAAACGTAAGTTATTGAAAGCCAAATTCAATCTTTGAAGATATTGAAGGCTGAAAAGAACACTTGAATTAAGAAGTTGTCCGGAGATAGACTCCTCACTGAGATCAAGGGCTATAACACGACTTTCATTGCATGTCACACCATGCCATTGGCAGCAATCTTCACTTTGATTCCAAAGAGTAAGCTTTTTGGATATTGTAGGGTTGAATGTTAGGCTATTTTTCAAATGGAGCAACATGGAACACTCATGGCCAAGCAAATAGCCACTGGCACCATAGTTTATTGAACAAAATGGTATGAAAAAAAGGCACAGGAGTATATGTCCTCTCATAGTGTATTATGAGAAGTGTGTGATAAGAGATATATTTCATTTGAAACATCTATTTCTCTCTTATATAGACTACAAGATATGCACTATTCATAATTTCAGTGTCCCGAGTCTTGCACGCAATTTAGTCTTGGGAAGTATAAAAGCAACTCCTACAAACACAAAGTATTGGTACCACTTTTTACGTCCATATAGTTTTTTATATAGATAATTTAATTATTTATATTATTTAAAATATGTTTTAATATGAGTATTGGACAAAATAAATTATTTTTTTATATAATTAAATTTATAAAAAATAGTTTTAATCTATAAATTTTATTATGAAAATTAAAATTCGTAGTAAACATTAGTATTTTTAATTTTTGATGGCTTTTTTTATATAAGTTGTTGAAAATAAATTTAATAATTTTGTATTATCTTCCATTCGTTGGTAAACCAAAATATTTTTTTCTTTTTTTACGATCATCATTCAAATTTTTTGAAAATTCAAATTATTGACTTAGTCATGAGATAAATATATCATTGACAAGGGTTGTCTGCGTAACAGTGGGAATAGCAAGCAACGAGGTGCATTAATATTTTTAAATATATAAAATATACCATAAATTATTTTTTAGTAATAATCTTAGTTTAACTTTATAATGAATAATTTAAATTGCATGTGTGGCTATTTTTAATTTTTAATAATTATGGAGGTGTACTTGCCTTTTGATGAGGTTAATTAATAGAAAAATCTAAGTATCATAATAAAATTAACCCTTCTTTGGAGTAACATGTCAAGATATAAAAAGTATAATGATGAAAAATTTATAGGAAAAATGCAATAGCAAAACATATCATGATAATAATTTGATTTCAAGAAACTTTGTACACCTTTCTACTGTTGGATGAAGACAAGTCATGGAGTGTAGAAAGTGGAAGCCCATCCACCTATAAAAATATAGCACGAAAAATAAGGTTGAGAATAAGTCTTAGCCTGTAATGAAGCATAAGGTTGACAATAGTGTGATATGTAGAAATTGTAAAAAAAAATGGTGATTTAGAGAAGATATTTCACATCGATCTCAGTCATAATTCACTGGTAGAATGTTGGAATACTAATCCATAACATTCCATTAACAATTATACGAATCCACAACATCTAGAAGTTAACAAATAATTTCTAATGTGCGGAAAAAAAAAAATAGTTATCCTTATCTGATTTCTTCGATGATGGATGCGTCTGATGACTCCTTATTGTAAAAATCTCTAACATATGCATTGGGTGCCATTTTTGTGCTATACACATATTTCGAACCACAAAAAAGTACTTGAGTAAACCTGCTCCCATGAATCGTTATTACGGCACATCCGCATCTAATGTATGATCCACGATCGAAAATATTACTTTATTATCTTTTATTTAAATTAGGTATTAAGAGATTTTATTATCTTTTAAGAGATAAAATAAAAAGATATTAGATTATTATTTTGATTTAGGTAATAATGATTGAGATATTATTAATATTTGATATTTTGTAATATTTTTACTCTATATATACATAGAGTACATGAATAAAAATATACCCGCATGATATATTAGAAATACACATACAGAAAACCCTAAAAATTTTCATTAGTGGTATCAGAGTTTTAGTTCGATACAATGGAAGGAGAAAGAATTTTTTCACAAATCGCTATTCCAACTTTTGATGACGAAAGTTATGACTTATGGACTGTGAGAATGCAATCTTATCTAAAAATATTTGATGTATGAGAAGTTGTGGAAGAAGATTATGTTGTTGATCCACTACCTGAAAATCTCACTATAGCTCAAATGAAATTTTACAAAGAAAGAAAAATGAGGAAGACAAAAAAACTAAATCATGTTTGTTTGCTGGTGTTTCATAAATTATCCTCACCAAGATTATGACGTTAAAGTCACCCAAAGAAATTTGGGATTATTTGAAAGATCAATATGAAAGGGACGAGAAAGTTTGAGGTATGAAAGTTCTAAACTTGATAAGAGAATTTGAGATACAAAAGATGCAAGAGTATGAGACAATTAATGAATACTCAAACAAATTGTTGGATGTTGAGAAAATTCTGATAACTGTGTCAGAGAGATATGAAGCATCTATTATTTCATTGGAAAACACAAAGAATTTGTCTAATATTACTTTGGCAGAAGTGTTACATGTTTTACAAGAGTAAGAGCAACGAAGATTGATGAGAGGAGATCATGTTGTTGGTGAAGGTTCTTTACTATATCATGGTGAAGGTTTTCTCCAAGGCAAGAACAACAAAGGTACAAAATCATAAGTCTTTTTTATTTGTCCTTATTGTAAGAAAAATAATCACACACCCAAAAAGTGTTGGTGGAGGTCTGATGTGAAATATTGTAAATGTAGTCAATTTATATATATAGAAAAGATATACAAATCACAACCAGAAGAAGTCGTCAAGGTTATAGAGGATGAAGTATAAGGGGAACTTCTCCTTATATTAACATGCTCTACAATCAACAAATCTACATGTTGGTTTATAAACAGTGGTTGTACAAACCACATGACTCATGATCAAGAATTTTTCAAAGAGCTCAACGAATCACATATTTCTAAAGTGAGAATCGATAATGGAAAACAAATGGACATGAAAGGTACATAAACAATTGCAGTTAAAACTCATTCGGGTATCAAATTAATTTTTGATGTTTTATATGTTCCTGATATTAATTATAATTTGTTAAGTGTTGCTCAATTATTGGAGAAAAGTTATAAGGTGTCTTTTGAACACAAACTTTGTGTGATTAAATATACAAATAACTTGGAAATATTCAAAGTTCACATAAAAGAAAAAAGTTTCACTTTAGATTTGATGAAAGAAGAGTTTATTATAAACGAGGATATAAAAGAAAAGTCAAAGAAAAAACGTGAAGAATATTTCTTGAAGGAACTTGATGTTAAGGAGGAAAAATAAAGATGTAAATGAAGAAGTTGTTTCCAACTTTCATCAAAGAGTCAACATACTACCATGAAGTTTGAAAGATATAAAGGAGATGAAGTTGATAAAGGAAGAAATACTTTGATGAAGAAAGTAATGTTGAATGAAGATATAATCTCATACAAGAAAGAAGATTACATGAAGTACAAACAAAAAATGAGGAAAAATTCTAAGCAAAATAAAAGGAAGAATATCAAATTCAAATAAATAGATATTAAAGTAAGGAGGAATGTTGAAAATATTACTTTATTATCTTTTATTTAAATTAGGTATTAAGATATTTTATTATCTTTTAAGAGAGAAGATTAAAATATATTAGGTTATTATTTTGATTTAGACAAGTTATGATTGAGATATTATTAATATTTGATATTTTGTAATATTTTTACTCTATATATACATAGAGTACATGAATAAAAATATACTCACATGATATATAAAAAATACACATACACAAAATCCTAAAAATTTCCATCAGTAGCCATATTAAGCTTTCTTGTTATTTATGTTACCAATATATGATGATTGTAAAATTAAAGAAAAAAATAGAGGTAAATCCAATGTCAATTACATGATGATGATAAAGTGGATCTACCATTCATGACACTAGGTACATTCATAACACCAATAAAAACAAAAAATATTCTTTCATAATTTAGAAAGGAAAATCTTGGATTATATACCAAATGATACTTTGTAGTAAAAGTTTGATATTTGAAATTATCTATATGTACCATACAATGATGTTATTCTTCAAAATTAATAACATCAATTTTCAATAAAACATGAATAAGACATATTAATTTACTCACACATTAATATAAGGAGTAATTGTAAATTATCTTTCAAGACGCCTAAATACATCATTGCATATATATCTAACCTTCCTTTTTTTTTAATTCCTAAATTTTGGTATGGTTTCGAGGCTCAAAGACATACAAAGATATTTTGTATATTTACAATTAATTCATTGATATACCTACATTATTAACTTAAATATAAGTTGTAATCTAACAAGGATAATAAACAAGTGCAATCAAATATAGAGTTATATTTTACTTACATCATTTATAAGTATACATTTTTACACATTGGTCCTGTTTTATATTTATGCACTGGTCTTGTTATTTATTTATTTATTTGTCTCAAATTAGGCGTTAATCATATTTATTTATTTTCAGTTATGCACTCGATCTTATATATTTTATCTCCATGGTCCTCTATTATTAATTTATATTTATATTATTTAATTATTTTTAAATAATAATACTTATTTATGAAGATTTGATGATATTGTAAATGGAGGTTGAACCTTGAGGATTGACTTAAATTTCCATTATTAATCCCGCTAGTGACAATTATACGTCGACGTGGAAAGTTTTTTTTTTCACCCAAAAATTCACTTAAATTTGAAAATTGTCACTAGCAGTGATTCGAACTCAAGATTTTAGAATTGAAAACTAATACTCTAACCACTAAACTATTATAATTTTCCGATAATAACTTACAAATAAATTATATTTATATACAAATAAATATATATATCCATGTAAATATATATTTATTTGTATATATTTTCTGGAAAGTATTTTTATTTTTTTCAACCAAAGTTAATGAATTGTCACATGATAGCATTTGAACCCAGTATTTTAGGGTTGAAAGTTAATATCTCAACCACTAAACTATTATAATTTTTTGATAATAACTTACAAATAAATTATATTGGTATTTTTCGATCGAGGGTGAAAGTGTGATTGATTTTCGCTTGAGTGAAAATATGTTAAAGCTCACGAAAATTCACTCACTCAAGTCTCGTTTGAGCGAAAATTGGTATTTTTCGCTTGAGAGCGAATAACGCGTTTCCCAAATTTATTTTATATCATTATATAAATAAAATTATAAAGATTATATTTTGTCATTAAATTACAAACTCATATAAAGATACTTGCTCACAAATTTAGCATCAAATTTTGAAAACCCACTAGACACACACTTTCACTTTCGAGTGTGCCCTCACA